TGGAGGTTTGGCTGTCTTCTTTTGTGCTCCTCTGACATTTCAGAAGGGCATTGAAAACCTCCTCTGTAGACATCTCCGTCTTTCATTGCTAAGTCTTTGTTGGCAGGAAACTGAAGATTGTCCTTGGAGAGATAGCCAGTGTCTGTGAGGAGACAGAGTCGGGTTTTACAGCAGCTGGTTGATGATCGCCAAAGTCTTAGGGAATGTAGGGATTTCCTTAGACTTTGTTGGTGTAGTACATTTGCTCAGCCCGGATAGATTTCCTGACTGAGGATATGAAAGACAAAAACGTGAAGTTCCTTTCTGATAGAGGCGTTGACTTTGGCTAAACAGGGATAGAAAGGCATGGATGGAATGTTTATATATTGGCAGGCAGCACTGGCCTTTTGCCTGGCCAGTTGCTGTCTCTGACTGGTGGAACATCTATTGTGTCTGATGTTCGAGTATTTTTGTCCAGCCCTCCTTTGGCTGACATTACCCAGGTCCACTGTGACAGCTGGTTCACAGTCCATAATATCTTACATGCCATTTTGTATATAAACTTTCACACATGAGCCATGAGCACAGAGCAATAGGTTACTTCTGTAGCTCTATTGTTTGTGAGATAAAAAAACATACTGCAGTCACCTTGCAGCAGATCACATGCCCAGCGTTAATAGGTGAGGCTAGTGATGAAATGTCCTTTGGTTCCCAGTACTGAACCCAAAGCCAGAGACAGGCTTCTAGGTAAACATGTTAAAGGTTACACTCAATTTCTCCCCTTGAATTTGCACAGAGAGGGAATTTGCTCCTTTCCTTTGCCTTTTTCACAGAATTATAAATCATGAGCACTAGAAGGGCCATTGGAGGACAATCGGTCCATCTGTTGGTGAGGACCTGAAAGTAAACAGTCACATTCTAGTCCAAATGGGATCATAGCATTGCAAATAAAAACATGACTAAGGAGAAGAAGGAATTCCTCCCACCCCAAAGTTTCTGTAGTGTCATTACGCTATAAATGTGAATTACTATCGACCATGGGTGACAAGCATGTCACTCTTTCCTGGGCCTGTTGGTGATTGGTCACCATGCATATGCTATTTAGTTCACACACAGGTGGCCAAGTGTGTAGAAGGGTTCCCTCGAGTCTGTTGGGGGTCAATACATGGAACATTTACAAAAATGAGTAAGTCAGAACTGGCCAACATAGATGAAAATGCATCCCAGAAGCAAAATATGGTAATGCTGGCAGTAAAATTCCAGTTGAATCTACAAGACATTGTAGAAGGCATGTCTGGCTGTAGAATGTGAGCTGTGTCACTGTTGCAAAGACACTACACTCAGAGCCAGTGGAACTTAGGGAAGGTGAGTTGTGGTTGCAAATGAGGACAGTGGTTGTGACCAGAAGGATGACAGTGTCCTAGAGGAAGTGACACCAGGTAGAACACTTGCCATGAAAGGAACTCTTGGAGATTCTTCTCCATGTGAAAACACAAGGGAGAAAATGCTGGAAGCTGATCCAAACACAGAAGGAGTGTGACAGCTCCAAGGCCCAAAGAAGATGCTCTGTGGTGGGAAGGAGTTAGGTGGCAGGCTCTCTCCAAACTCTCCCTAGGTGTTTCAAAAAGAAATAAAACTCCTTCATTTTGTGTTTCCAATGTTTTAAATTATACATTTTAGTCACATCATTTTCTTTTGTTTTCTATGTATTTATAAATCATAGTAAGGATTTTGAATGCTTGGACAAAAAATTTTTTAAGTCACCAAATAATCATAAAGTATAATAATTTTCCTGTTTGTCTTTCTCTGTGAATGTGCAGAAAGTGGTTTTTCAATGAATACAGATCCAGTGAAAGTCCAAAAGACTGGATTCACCAGTTCTCTGATTTTTAATAATCTCAACTCATTTGCTCTGTCAACTACTCATTCTCTGTAAGAAAAAAAAGCATAGATAACATTTTATTTGGTCAGATGCCAGAAAAGTCTAAAGCAATAATAGAGTAATTGAGCTAAACTGGGAAGTACTTCCAGTGCCTACAGCACAACAGGCACTAGATAAAGGAACATTTGTGCAGAATTTGATCCCCTTTCTCCACTGCTACTGCCACCAACCTGGACTGAGCCACCCCTGAATGGTTGCAGTAATCCCATTAGGTCACCCTGCACTCTGGATGGACTACATGGTAGAGTGGCTCTCCCTTCCCCCAGTCAAAGTCAAAGACGCTGCACTGACCTCAATCAATGCCTTTTATGATCTGACCCCATTATTGGTGACCTTGTATTGTTTTAGTATACCAGCCTCCCCTCTGGCTTGTTCTGCTCTAGCTGTTGTTCTTTTGATGCTGCAGATTGAATCTGGGACCTCATATACTGTGCCAGTGAGCCAGTGTGAACAGTGAGCCTGTTCTTTTTTGCTCATTTGTTTGTTTGAACTAGATCTTGCTATGTAAGCCAGGTTGGTCTTGAACTTATGGTCCTTCTGCCTCAGACTCTCAAGTGCTGGAATTATAGTTGTGCACCATGGCTGGCTTCCTTCCTATTCTTGGTGCTGCTAAGATTATATTCTCTTGGGGAAATTTCCACCAACCTTGCCTCTCTCTGGGATGCTTCTCCACACACTTGATGACTAACTGCTTTTCCCTTCTTCAAGTCTGCTGAAAAGGCACCTGCATGAGTTCATGACAGCTCTCTACAAATCTTCTACCTCCAGCCCCATAGCACTCTAATCCCTTTAAACTCTTCTGTTTTTCTTTTTTTCTTTTTTGTAGAACTTTTCATCTTCCAACATAATTATAAATTTATCTTGTTTTTGCTTATTTGCTCTCTTCCCTTGCCACTGTGGAAGCCTAATGAGTTTGGAGATTTTTGGTCTATTGAGTAATTTCTCTCAAGCACTTAGAACATTTCTTAGCACATATTTGTGTCCCGAGCAAATATCTAATAAATGATGAATGAACATTTGAAAGAAGTTGTTGATGTTGCTGCTGGAGAATTATTTTCCATGCTGCATGATTCCAGAAGACTTGGCATTGTGTGTTGTAGAAATCATGTCTTATTTACTTGTCACAAATGCTTGGAATACAAAATTCTAGTTCTGGCTCTACTCCCCATAAATTGCAGTCAGAAGTATAAAACTTGAAGGAGTTGTAAAGTTGCAGAAAGTGTAGAATAAGGTTCAAAGAAGGGAATTCAGCCCAATTTATGTTTCTTGAGCATTTGGGGCTCAATGTCTGTTTCTTGAGCACTTAGTGTATACAGTGGTCTACAATTGATGATGGTGTGATTCCCTTAGGTTTTAACTAAAACATTATTTCTGTTGGGCACCTGGTTTCCATGAAATTGAATCTGACCTGCTAGACAGCTATAGGATAAGACACATATGGTGAGCTTTGTCAGTGAAGACTAAGAAAATGTCTCATGATATCTCCCAGGGAGAAGATCAGTCACAGAACACTGAAAGCTGGACAACCCTTTGGAAGACAAGCAGAGTAAGAGTTTAAGGAAATTCTAGCATGATGTGAGGAGTATTCAAGAGTGTATAATTGATTGGTGTAGATGGTGTATGGAAAGAGAATTGTCATAATCAAAGTTTTCTATTTATAGGGAAATGGGGGAGATAAGAGCCTTTTTCCAGGGATATACTTAGGCTTTGTGTTGATTCTAGGGGTGCTTACTTTAAAATTTGTCCATTTGACTTTCTTCTTTTGAGAAAGTTCTGTTTAGTTCAGCTGCCCATTTCTTTATTGGTTCATTGATTTTGGGAGAGTTTAGTTTCTTAAGTTCCCTGTATATTCTGGTTATCAGTCCTTTGTCTGATGTATAGCTGACAAACTATTTTCTCCCACTCTGTGGGTGTTCTCTTCAGTTTAGAGACCATTTCTTTTGTTGTGCAGAAGCTTTTTAATTTTATGAAGTCCCATTTGTCCATCCTTTCTCTTAGCTGCTGGGCTGCTTGAGTTCTACTGAGGAAGTCCTTGCCTATACCTAGTGCTTCCAGAGTATTCCCTGCTCTTCCCTGTACTAACTTCAGAGTTTTGGGTCTGATATTAAGGTACTTGATCCATTCTGAGTTGATACTAGTGCAGGGTGATAGACATGGATCTAGTTTCAGTTTCTTGCAGACTGTATAGGCACCTGCACACCCTTGTTTATTGCAGCACTATTCACAATAGCCATGTTATGGAAATAGCCAAGATGCCCCAGCACTGACGAATGGATTAAGAAAATGTGGTATCTATACACAATGGAGTTTTACTCAGCCATGAAGAAGAATTAAATCTTATTATTCTCAAGTAAATGGATGGAACTGGAGAACATCATTCTGAGCAAAGCTAGCCAGGCTCAGAAGACCAAAAATTATATATTCTGTCTCATATGTGGACTTTAGATCTAGGGCAAATACAGCAATGTTGTTGGACTTGGGTCACATGATAAGAGGAGAGCACATATGGGAGGTATGGGGATAGGTAGGAAACCCAAAACATGAAAGTGTTTGATGTCCCCACTGCAGAGGAGCTAATATAGAAACCTTAAAGCGACAGAGGTCAATATGGGAAGGGGATCAGGAACTAGTGAAAAGATCAGGTAGAGATGAATCAACTTGGGTTGTAATACACTTGTGCATGGAAGCAATGCTAGGAATCTCTCTGTGTAGCCATCTTTATCTCAACTACCAAAAACGCCTTGTCTTATTATTACTTATGTCTTCTCTTCAACAAAATTGGAGCAAAGGGCAGAACAGGTTCTGCCTAGAAGCAAGGGGTGGTGGTAGGGAGAGGGAGAGGAAGAGGGCAGAGGGCAGGGGGGAGAAATGGTCCAAACAATGTATGCAGATGTGAATAAATGAATAAAAAATTTAAGAAAAATTTGTCATAGCTCAGTAAATTTCCTTCAATATTGCCCTATATCCAGGCTTTGCAAAACCACTAAATCACTTATTGGGGTCATATAATACTAGCTTTAATTAGAAATTAAATAAGTTCTTACCTTGGCCATTCTAAAAAGAGATTCCATCTGTCAGCATGCAGCACAGACGTCTGAACAATCAGAGGTGAGTTGGGATCTGCAGTCATTTATTTAGGGCGCTGTATTTGCCAGACACAGTGTTAGATGATGGAGAAACACAGATCTTGTTCCTGCTCTCACACAGGTGCTAAATACCATGGGGACAGGTACAGAGAGAGCAGACAGGCCTGTGTAACTGGAAGGAGGTGATTCCCGTCTGTGGTAACTTAGTACCGTCATGATTTATAAAGTCTGTTGCTGGTAATTAAATATCATTTGAGGAGTTAATGGGGAAGTGAAGAGGGAGAGGAAGGACATCCTTAGGCTCTGCCTCCAGTACTCCAGACCGGGATGGAGCATCTTTTGTTCCATACTTACTTGTTAAGGGAAAGTTGGAAACTGCTGCAAGTGCTACCACATGTGGATGGACTTTCATTAGAGTTTGATCATTCTTTCTCTCATGCATTCAGCAGATATTTCTTGTTTGATCACTTCCTGTGAGCCCAGCATTCCTGCAGGCCAGAGAGATACCCATCAGTAAATAGGACAAATAGAACTTTCACCCTATAGAACCAGATGTGGGGGAGGCTCAGGCAATTCAAAAAATATGATAAAATCAAGAAAAAGAAAAACGGGACTTAGGGTAATAGGGACTGCTGAGATAGATAGGTTGGTTGTCTGTGGAAGTGGTTTTCCAGATGTGTGGGAAACACGGTCAATCTGGCTTTGCTAAAAGTAAGTAAACCCAGCTGTGCGTGGTGGCACATGCCTGTCCATCCCAGCTCTTTGGAACTCAAAGTAGGAGGGTTGCAAGTTCCAGGTCAGCCTCAGCTACATAGTGAAACCTTGTCTTAAAAAATGCCTGAAGCACACTCCAATAACCCACTCCTTAATATCTTCCACTGCCTATCCCACCTTTATCCTTGCCACTCCTGGACCAGCATATAGATGCTCCAGCCACTAGGTCTGGGCTTTCTCTTTCACCTCCTCTCTGGTTACCTCTTGCTCTTGTCTCCCAGACCACATAACATCTACTTTATTTCTTTTGTTTCTGGGACCAGCCAGTGTAGTGTCTGGTCAAGTGTGAGGTCCCTACCTATCGCTGAATGATGTTTATCCATTTTCTTTGCCAAGACCTGTGTTTGTCTGCATCATAGCCAAAGTTTCTCATTTGGCTAATCCGGCATGGTTAGAGTGGCTTAAAAGGAAGGTAGGATTCCTTTAGTGCTGAGAAAGATCTCATGTTGAACTTGACTGTTGAACTGCAATGTCTGAAATGAGCAATCCAGTGAAAGGGTAGTGCTGATTTAGCAGGATTAACTTATTAGAATTTTTGCCATCGTTTGTTTTTCTTCATTTATTCTGGGGTCCTGACTTAATACCTCAGTACTGGGGATCGAGTTAGAATGTTTCTCTAGCAAGGTGTACCTGACTGTATGGCAGATATTGGACTACAGTTCTAAGTAATAAAGGCTCACTTTAAAAATCAGATGTTGATAATTATACAAATGAAAGTATAATGACAAACCAAGGAAACTAAAGAAATACAGTGGTATAGGAGCAAATTACAAAGGATCCCACATAGCCTGTGCATCAGGGGAAGCTCATGGCTGGATAAAGTTGGACAGATGGACAGGTGATAATTAGAAGAGAGAATGGAGGTTTAGTAGCATACACAAAAAGAAGGTTGGTTGGAGGAAATGGGACCCCAGACCACATGATGTGGGGTTTTGGAAGCTAGTGGATAAAAGGCCTTTTTCCTTAGAGCAAGGGGAAGCCATTGAGGGGCCTTAAGCCAGACCCCAGCATAATAGGGTTGATGATGAAGCACCACTGGAAGGGGTTCGCAGTGTGGAAAACCATTTAGTGCATGTCAATGGTCCTAAATAAGAAGTGATGATAGATTGGACTGGTGATTTGAAGGATATCAGTGGAGCAGAATCAATAAACTTGGTGACAGGAAGCAAGATGGCATTCTTCAAGCAATGCCATTTATCTGCTTATGAGGTTTCTTCCAAAATACTTTTTCTTTTTACAGTTTACTGTGTATCCAGAATATGTATACAGAAATATCAGTAAATTTGTTTTTTTAAATTTTTTTCTTTTACAAAATGGGAAGCATTGTAAGATCAAGTATTTCTGGGGACAGCAAGATGTTAATATCTTTTTGTGCTGGTCATTCATGGTTAGCTAGTGGGTTTTGGAATTTTAAAATAGGACATAAGTTCAATCAATTTTTGGTAGCATTTTAGTTATGAGGTATGACCTCCTGGGGATCGAGTTGAAATGTGTTTCCCTAGCAAGATACCAGAGTGTAAAATGTAGAAACTCCAAAAGCAAAGTATATTCCAGGGAGAGTATTGTTTCACATGGCCCAGTCTGGGAAAAACGATGGCCACCATGTGCACAGAGGCCCTAGATGTACCATCGGCATGCACAACCAGAGGCAAAAGCAAGAGATGTGACTTAGAAGTCTGCCTCTCAGGGGCCACATAGCAAAGACTAATTTCAGAAGAATGACCTAAGAAGATCCACTTTAACTAGGTCTTTGTCATTCTCTTACATGAGCAGGGTTACCCCTCTGGATCTCATCAGTGTTTGGCAGATTTGAAATGAGAGACAAACTTGTGTGTGTGCATCCACTTGCACACACACAATTATACCCTCGTGTGTACACTATATAGATGTTAACAATAACCAGATTCACTACCTATGGGTTACAGTTGATAGAAAAACTTAGGTTATTTGCCACAACCTCTCAATGCAAAGTCTTCATGCTGTCTCTCCCACTATGTGGGTGCTGGAGAGAGAGTTCTCTTTGAGATGAATAATGGGATAATTTAACGGACCTGGCAGGTGGTTTGTGTTGTGTTGTTTGGTCCATCAAGTGTTTGGTGTGTATTATTTTCTGTGAAAGAGGACCTCTTTGCTTATTAGAATGCAGAACAAAAACTGCTCCTAGATAGACTGGTGAAAGCTTTATGAGTATGTCAGGTTAGGGGCTGTCATTTGAAGTTGAATCAATGGAAAGTCGTAATTGTCATTGCCTGTTGCCTTGGAGGTATAGCAGACCATAGTGTTGTGTGATTGTCAGCTATCCTGTCAAGCAATGGGAAGACCCAGATTGAAGGGAAGTTTTGCATAAATAAGCCTAATCCATAGATTGGACAGGGTAGTTGAATATATTATTTAAATTTAGTCCTCCAGGGGCACAGGAGCTCTAACTTTGGACTTTGTCCAAAGTACACACACATACTTTAATCTTCAGCTGCTCTTGATGGTCTCCACGCTCCTACAGGAGACTACTTATATCTCCTACCCATTTTGGATCTGAGATACGCAGAGTGTGGTCCTCGACCTTGAGCATTTGTTAGAGATGCAGCCAGCCTTAGTTCTGCCCCTGAGCTATAGAATCAGAACCTGTATCTCAGCAAGATCCTTGGGCAGTGGGATGCGTGTTAAAGACATCTGCAATAACAAAATGGTGAAAATCAACTCACTCTAGAGGCGGTGTGTAGCCAACAACTTTTAGATTCAGGTAAATTAGGTTTAATGATCTGATTCCTGGAAGTATGTTCGATAAGCCCTCTGTAGGACTGTTGATTTTCCTCACCTGCATTTGTGTGGGTAGTTGGTATCACAGGAGTGGAGTGAGGATTAAGTGAGTTAGTGCCAGTGTAGGCAAACCCATGCTTTTGGTACCTATGGTGGCGCTCTCTCTTCTGTCAGGACTTGCTCATTAGCATACTGTCTTTTTTTCCTATAAAGTGGCCTTTTTTTTACCTACCTCTTCTCCTATCTCGATGTCTTCTCTTACTCTCATTCCCAAACCGTCCTTAATTAGTGCATTAAAGTAATTATTTACTAAATGGTATTTAGTTAGTCAAGAAGATCCAAAGATCCCTTGTTTCTGTGAGGGTATCATTTGTGTACGTAAGCCAAGATAGTGAAAGGTGGTGAGGAATTCCTTGGTAAGGAATTGAGTCTGTTGGTATCATTTTCGTTTTTTTCTCTCATTATGCTGCATGTTTGAAAAGCACCATCTATCTTTGATCTTGCAGATCATATAAAACACTTTGTGATTTTTTTATTAGAGCTATGCTGAACATGAATTTTACACTCATATGTATTTATCTGAAAATCAGGCTTTTTTAAAGCAAATCACTTTTAAAATAAAACTAATATTCACTAGAAATTAATGAGCACTGGAAGACTGTTAGGAGGTGCTTTTTAAAAATCAGCAAAGGCTGATCACCTATTGCTGCTACTGTATAGGAAATAAAGGAGGACAGCCAGCATTACTAAGGTTTTAAGTGCAAATTAGAGTTGCACTTTTCCAATTAATGTAGCATTTTCTTTGGATAGCCAAAAAAAGCTGGTTTTTGCTTTTGAAAAGTGATCACATCTTACCACTTTTACTCTGCCATGTTATCTTGATGAAGGGCTTTTAGAATACAATTTGACTCAGAAGGAGTGGTGAATATATTCATTCTTTAATTACTCTGGTATGCATCTGTGTGCATTTTCTTTTTTAGCAGTCCTGGGGTTTGACTCAGGGCTTTGCCCTTGCTAGGCAGGCACTCTACTGCTTGAGCCATACTCCAGCCCTTTCTGCTCTGGTTATTTAGGAGATAAGTTCTCTCTTTTGCCCAGGTCATCCTGGACCTGATCCTCTTATTTTATGCTTTTTGCCATAGCTGGGAAGACAGGCATGGGCCACCATGCCTAGCTTTTTTTCTGTTGAGATCAGGTCTCACAAACTTTTTTGCCTAGGCTGGACTGGAACAGCAACACTCCCAATCTCAGTCTCCCACGTAGCTTGGGATGACAGGTGTGCATCATTGTGCCCAGCTGTCAGTTGAGATAGGGTCTCAGGAATGTTTTGCCTGAGATGATTTTGATACTCAAATTTTCAGATATCAACCTCCCAAGTAGCTAGGATTACAGGCATGAGCCATAGGTGCAGGCCTTCCTTCTCTGTGTTTGATGTTGAAATGTGAAATACCTATGGTTAGACTTTTTAGGCATTTGCTACTGAGAACTGGTTAAAATGAGATACTTTGTCACAAGTAACCTCATGTCCTGCTTATCCAGTATCTAGTTCTGTGTGTGTCAGTCATTCTGTAAGTGTTCTATCTCTATTCATCATTTTACTTACTTGTTTTTTTATTGTTGTCCTGGGTAGGGATACATTGTGGCATTTACAAAAGTTCTTGCCGTGTATCAAATATATCAGACTTATCTCTTCATCATTTTAGAGACTCAATAAGATTTCATGACATAGCATGTAGCCAGGCTGGGATGGTATTCAGACCCTGCTCACTGTCCCTAGTCATGCTTCTTCCTTCCAGGACTCAAGCTGTCTACACTGAGTCTCCCTGTTTATTCCCTTCTCCCATGTGCAGGTTTTCCTGTAATCCTGCTTCACTGATTGATTGGGAACCAGTGTGTTTGAGAGGTTTGAAGTAACAAATGGTCTCTCTGCATTTTTAAGCAGCCAGGATCGTTTCAAATATGATCAAATAGCCAATATGTGGCTGAAGTATGATGACTTTTACAGTCAATTTGAACTCAGAAGTTCAGTTATTGGCTTGTTTCTGTGTGTTGGTTCTGGAAAGACGTGTGCCTGCTATTAGAATCTGTTTCTTTTCTTTTCTTTTTTTTTTTTTGAGACAGGGTCTCACTGTACAGCTAAGGCTGGCCTGGAACTTTGTTACGTAGCTCTGGCTGGCCTCAAACCTAAGGTCATCCTGCTTCAGCCTCCTGAGTGCTGAACTTACAGGCATGTCCCACCATACCTGGCTCGTTCTATTCTTGATGATGCTCGATGTCCTAGAAATGTGTCAGATGATTTCTTGGTAATTTCTGATGATTAGAGCAGTGTGTGAGAGTGCTAACATGGAAATCCTTTATTTTACTGTTATCTTGCAGTTCGTCTCTGGGGATCAGTAATAATGAGAAAACTATTGATCGCCTTGAAAAGCTTTAGCCCTTCGCTTTCCCCCACCTAGTTTCTTTCTTGCAAATAAAACTTGCCTTAGGAAATGATCTTGTAGGGTTTTTTTTGACCAGTTATTACATGTGGCTCTGTTTTTTAAAATGCACTAAAATTGTGTTCTTTGTGAACTGATGTAGACTTGTCATGTCAACTCTCATTCTTTCTTCTCTGTTTCTCCTCCTCTGCAGGATGACGAAGTGGTCCTGCAGTGCACCGCAACCATTCACAAAGAGCAACAGAAACTATGTTTGGCGGCAGAAGGCTTTGGCAACAGACTTTGTTTCTTGGAGTCCACTTCCAATTCCAAGGTGGGATGAAGCCTTTCGAGGCCATTGAAATGGTCAAGCTTCACTCATGGAATTGATGCAGTTTACGAGCACTCTCTTGTTCTTGGTGGAGTGCTTAATATGTAGACAAATACCTTTGCTCTTCAATATAGAATGTTAATTAAGATCTCCCTGTGATGTAGAGACTGGGATGTAATTGTTAACATGAGTAGAGAAAGTCCTTGCCTTTTCTAGTGAAAAGTAAACAAGTGATGTAATTTCAGAACACGTAAGGGCCAGGAAGGAAAGTAGAGTCACAGCATAGACAACAATGAGGGGAGGACTTGCCCTTTCATAAAGAGTATTCCTGGAAGCCTTTCTGAGGCAGTGGCATTTGAGTAGGCAGAGATCAAGTGAGAGGATGAGAAGTACAACATGCTTAAATCTTCTACAAAGAGGAGCGAGGCAGTGCCAGATCCCCAGGTAGGAGTGGGTGTACAGAGTGTGAGAGTAGCAGCATGAATGGAGGGAGCAGTGTTGGAGATGGGGTCTTCAAGAAATCAGGTCTTGGACAGCCTTGCAGGTCATGGTAGGAGTCAGGTTTCTTCTGAGTGTGAAGGGAGGCCATGGGAATGGGGGATTGGAGTAGGTGAGCGATTCAATTTGGTGTATGTGCTGTGAGGACCACTTTGGCTCTGTCTTGGGTTTCGGACTGGAGAGAGCAAGAATAGACTTGGGGAGACAGTGGGAAGTTGCTTGATGAGGTCTTGTGGGAGCTGACTCTATCTCCGACTGGGAGCAATGGTGGTGGGAACTGTGGATGGATTTGGAATCTTCTCTGAGGACATACTGGATCTGCTGTCAGGTCAGATTGTGCAGAAGACAGTGGCATGAGGGAATGAGGCAAGACAAGGTGACTCTGGGGGAAGGAAATCAGAAAGAAGTCTTTTGTGTTGCTTTTTTTGGTTTGCAGAGCACTTGGTATCCATGGTCTCATATATTTGTCACACTAAGAGAGCAAGTAGTTATTGTTTAATTCATTGTGCAGATGAGGAAATGGAAATCCAATAGATATTAAGTATTATACTTGAAATAATTCAAGATGACATCAAGCAGCAGTATTGCCAATGCTCTTCCCAGGTCTTTTGGTTTCAAATCCTTGATTTATCTTTTCATGCCTCAGAACCTCTATTGTTACTCTGTAAAATCATATTGAGCAATGTATGTATAGGATTTGTTTATTATGGTAGTTTATACAAAGTAACATTAGTAATATTACAAGCTTATTACCAAACGTTAGGTATTTTATAGCCGTACGTAGGGGCTATAATTTTAATTTGAGAAGTGTTTTTTTTTTTAACAGAACATTCTCTTTGTAAAACTTACTATCATAGGTTCAGTTATAAAAAATATTCCTTTAAAAACTTAGACATTTTGATATTTGGTGTTTTCTCATATTTTTGTAGACTTGGCTTTTTAGTTAACCTGTTTTTTTTTCTTTCCACATTTTATCAAATATTGTAACTAGCTTTTGCTGTCTTGGTTCTTTGATAAAATAGCTGGTTTCTGATAGTAAAAATTAATGTCCCCAATTCTGTAATAAGTATACCATGCAAAAGCCAAGCATGGGAGTAGGGCTAGGCATCCATTTGAACTGCTCATCTCCTACTTGACTGTCTGGTAGCTACTAATGACTGAGGGAACAGAATTTACACTCTTTTGATTTTCATGCTTTCTGGTACTTTTCTGCTTGGCCTGAAAAAATTGCATTTGGGATGAGATCACTAGATTATTTATGAAGCACTGTGCTACTTAGTGCTTTGTGTATGCATCTAGGATGCAGCCATTTGGCAATGTCTACACTGCCTTCCCTTCCTGGCTTCACGCAAGATCCCTTTTGGATCCATACACCAGCTTCTGGACCTCTGAAGACCAGATATGTCTTGTTTATTTTCTTATCTTTTAGTGCTAGCCCTAGAACTAGCAAAATTTAGTGGATTATTAACTTTGAAAGGACACTAATAGTCTTAGGCTAATTGTGTTTTTTTCTATGACAGACTTTCAATTTTCTACAAGAAAGAGACAAAACTCTAGTTCCCAGCTCTTATTTACAATGTGTAAACCTGGCTAGAGATGTATTTCATACAGATGTGTCTGTACTTGCCTGACGTTGTAGAATGGGATGTGACTTTTTTCTTATCTCCGGTTGGCTTCTCGTGCTTTTATCATAAATGCAAGGAGAACAGAATGATTGCTGGCAATAACTAGTCAGACACTGTGAATTATGTATGTGCTCCTGGAAGCAGTCCCAAAATATCTTAAGCTACAGAATTTTTTAATTGAAGGCAGGATTTAGATTTTGAGATGCTTGTGTTTTCTACTTTTAGGATATTTATTAAGGCTTATCTTTGCAAGAGAATGGTTCATAATTTCAGTATAGGTTTTCAAACAGAAAATAGAAATATTTAAATCTGATGATGTCTTTAGATTAGTTATTCCTAATTAATAATGATGGATATTTACTGTTTAGTCCTTATGTGTGTATTTTCATTGTTGTCTCTAGAGTTTAGAGTTGAGAAGTTGGGCTTTTGCTTTTAGGAACTAGTTATTTTGAGGCAGATCCATATTGTTACTATTAAAAACTTAGCAACAAATTTGAAGTTTTTGGGGAGGCATAGTTTACCACTTTTTGTATCTTTGCATGAAAGTAGACAGTTACAAAGATGGTAAAACTCCAAACCTACTGTCCACATAATCTCTAAAGCAAACTAGTGGCCAGGTGTCTCCCCACCCCCAACCATGATATCAGGAAGCATATAGGAGAAAGTGAAGGAAAGGCATGTAATTTCTGTTGTTTTCAAAGACTGGTGACACGTACCCACTGGAAAGCATGCAGGACAATATGAAAGCAGTGGCCATGCTGGGAAGAGGCAAAGAACACACGGTCAGGTAGAATATTGCAGGAACACCCTTGTTCCTATGGGCTGTTGTAGAATATATGTTCTTCTCATTAGCCCAAGGAACTTCTCCAAAACAGATCATATTTTAGGATATAGAGGAAATCTTAAATATAAGAAAATTGAAGTACCTTCTTGCTTTTTATCAGATTGCAATGGAATGAAAGTAGAAATCAACAGTAAGAGAAACTATAGGAAACATACAAACACAGGGCTACTAAAAAATGCAGTGGACCAGTGGATCATTGAAGAAATTGGTGGGGGGGATTCCTAGAAGTAAATGAAAATGAAAACACAATATACCAGAATCTATGAGATACAATGAAAATAATTCAAGAGGGAAGGTTTATAGCTGTGAGTGCCTACATTAAAAAATCAGTGCGATCTCAAATAAATAACCTAATTATACACCTCAAGTTCTTAGAAAAACAAGAACAAGCCAATCTCCAAAACTGTAGAAGGGGGAAATAATGAAGATCAGAGCTTAAGTTAACACAATGTAAACCAAAAGAATAATACAAAAGCTCAATGAAGCAAAGAGTCAGTTATTTGAAAGAGTAAAGAATATTGACAAATGAACCAAAATAGATAAGATTCAAATGAAACAAATCAGGGATGAAAAAGGTGACATTACAACAGATACCACCAAAAATACAAAGACTCATTAGGGAATAATTTAAAACTTATGCTCTAATAAAGTGGAAATCTGGGAGAATGTATAAATTTCTAACACACATGACCTACCAAAAGTGAACCAAGAGGAAACAAATAGTTTAAACACATTAGCAATGAGTAATGAGACTAAAACAGTATTAAAAAGCCTCCCCCCAAAAGAGAAGCTCAGAACTGGACAGATTCACTCATGAATTCTACCAGACATTTAAAGGAGAACTGACACTAATGCTCTTGAAACTATTCCACAACATACAAAGGGAAGCACACTTCCAAACATATGAAGCTGGTGTTGCCCTGATAGCAAAATTGGGTGAAGAACCAACAAAAAAAGGCAAACTGTAGGCCAACTTCCTTGATGAACATAGATACAAAAGTCCTCGATAAAATACTTTCAAACTGAATACAGCAACCCATTAAAAAGGCCACACAGTGTAATCAAATTGGCTTTACTCCAGAAATGCAAGGATGGTTCAAGACATGCAAGCCAATAAACTTAATCTAGCCTGTTAACAGAAGTAAGGACAAGAGCCACATAATCAGGTCAATAGATGCAGAAAAACCTATGATAAGAATCCAATATCCCTTCATGATGAAAGCCCCATGGAAGCTAGGAATAGAAGGTTTATGCCTCAAAATAATAAAAGTATATTTGAGAGACCTAGAGCTAATATACTGAATGTGGAAAAAGGAAAGCATTTCCCATAAAATCAGGAATCAGACAAGGGTGTCCATTATCAATATGAATTCTTGAATTCTTAGCCAGAGCAAAAGGCAAGGGAAAGAAAGAAAAGACACAAAGGAAGAAGTCAAATTATCCTTTTTTGCAGGTGATATGATTCTATAGTTAAAGGACCCAAAGATTCTACCAAAATTACCTCTTAGATTTCATAAACACTTTCAGTAAAGTAAAGGATGCAAAATCAACACAACCCCCCCCCCCCAAAAAAAAACAGTTATCTTTTTTGTACACCAGTAATGAGCTTACAGAAAAAGAAGTCAGGAAAGTAATTCCATTCACAATAGCCAAAAAAATACCTACACCTAAACTTTACCAAAGATGTTAAAGACCTCTACAGTGAATACTATAAAGTCCTGAAGAAAGAGATTGCAGAAGACACTGGAAGGTGGAAAGACCTGCCATATTCATGGATTGGCAGAATTAGTATTGTGAAAATGGCCATACTACCGAAAGGGATAGACAAATTTAATCCAGTCCCCATCAAAATTCCAATAACATTCTTCACAGAAATAGAAAAAAAACAATCCTAAAATTCATATGAAAATGCTAAAGCAATCCTAAACAAAAAGAGTGATGCTGGAGGTTATTGCAATACCTGAGTTCAAATTATACTATGGAGCCGCAGTGAAAAAACAGCCTGGTTCAGGCATGAGAAGAGACACACAGACCAG